TCCTTCTCTCCTCTCCTTTTCCTTTCCTGTTTCCTCCTCTCTTCTCTTTTATCTTCCTCTGTCCTCTTGTTTCCTCTCCTCTCTTCTCTTATTTCCTTCTCCTCTCATGTTTCCTCTTCTCATCCTTTCCACACCTTTCTTGTTTCCTTCTCTCCTCCCTAACCCTTTTCCTCCTCTCTTCTCTTGTTTCCTTCTCTCTTCTCCTTTTCCTTCCCTGTTTCCTCCCCTATTGTCTTTTAGCCTTCTCTCCTCTCGTTTCCTCTTCTCATCCTTTCCACTCCTTTCTTGTAATCTTCTCTCCCCCCTTCTCTTATTTCCTCCACCCGCTTCGTTTTCCTCCTCTCTTCTCATGTTTCCATCTCTCCTCTCCTTTTCATTTCCTGTTTCCTCCTATCTTTTCTTTTATCTTCCTCTCTCCTCTTGTTTCCTTCTCTCCTCTCCTTTTCCTTTCCTGTTTCCTCCTCTCTTCTCTTTTATCTTCCTCTGTCCTCTTGTTTCCTCTCCTCTCTTCTCTTGTTTCCTTCTCTCCTCTCATGTTTCCTTTTCTCATCCTTTCCACACCTTTCTTGTTTCCTTCTCTCCTCCCTAACCCTTTTCCTCCTCTCTTCTCTTGTTTCCTTCTATCTTCTCATTTTCCTTTCCTGTTTCCTCCCCTATTGTCTTTTAGCCTTCTCTCCTCTCATTTCCTCTTCTCATCCTTTCCACTCCTTTCTTGTAATCTTCTCTCCCCCCTTCTCTTATTTCCTCCACCCGCTTCTTTTTCCTCCACTCTTCTCATGTTTCCATCTCTCCTCTCCTTTTCATTTCCTGTTTCCTCCTATCTTTTCTTTTATCTTCCTCTCTCCTCTTGTTTCCTCTCCACTCTCCTGTTGTTTCCTCTTCTCATTCTTTCCACTCCTTTCTTTTTTCCTTCTCTCCTCCCTGCCCCTTCTTGTTTCATCCTCTCCCCTCTTTTCTTTCTCCCACTCCCACTCTCATTTTCCATTCCTGTTTCCTCCCCTATTGTCTTTTAGCCTCCTCTCCTCTCTTGTGTCCTCTTCTCATCCTTTCCTCTCTTCTCTTGTTTGCTCCTCTCCTCTCCTCCTCTCCATCTGTTATTTCTTGTCTATCCTGAGGCACAGTCAGGAGCTCGTCTTCTCAGTGGGCTGATGAAGATGTGAGATGACAGCCGTTTTTCTGCAGAACCGCTCACTCAGAATGAGTAGAAACAGAGGTGGGTCTCGTTGGAGGCCTGTATATATGTACGGCTGGGTGGCAAACCTCATGTTGTATACATATTTGTTCAAACGTGCAAGTTGCTCAGTAATCCTCCCCACTCTGTTTCCCCTCCCACACATGTATATAAACAGGCAGGCCTCTGCCCATCTCAGCTAACATGGGGGAGATGCGATGGGTGAGGCTAGTAAGGAGGGGAATGGTAAGGGAAGGGGGCATGCGAAGCCTCTGCCAGATGCCCTTTGTAAATAAGCAGGGAGTCCTTAGAGGGGCGCCGTCGGGCGTCCTGACTCACCCGTCCCGAAGGACGCAATCAGGGTGCACCCCCCCACCCCCACCCTCCAACCTTGTAAGGGGTAAGGAGGGTTGAGGAAAGAAGAGGGTCTGGTCTGTATGTGCCTGGAGCTGACACAGAGGAGCTGTGGGTCTAATTCATTAAACCAGCCTTCTAATATAAACAGCCATTCATTTCGCTGCCTGACACTGGGCCGTCTGGACAATGTGAAGAGCCCCAATAGAACTGCCATAGACTGTGTGTGTGTGTGTGTGTGTGTGTGTGTGTGTGTGTGTTTGGAAGAGAGTGGTGGAGTCTGGCTGTTTGTGTGTATGAAGTCTCAGAGAGCCTGTTGGTCCCAAGCAGGTATAGTGAGGCTAACCAGAGGCTTTCATGAGCCTCGACACGGTTCACAGAGCAGCTGAAATGCACATTTTATTTTTTAAAAATTCCACATAAATTCAAAATGTGGTCTGTACAGTTTTTATAATAAAGGGAAGACATTAAGATGTGGCTGAATTATGTCAGTTGAACTGGTAGTGATCTGCAACCAGCTGGTAAGAGTGAGTACCTATAAGGACAAATAACAACTTTTTTAAAACACAGACTGCCTCATAAATATTACACATGTTAGAATGTAGACACTGTATATAATAAAATAAATTACATGACAATAAATGTATCACATACTATTTAAAGCCCAGGATAAATGAGAAAAAGTGTGAGCATCAATTAAATACCTTAAAATACCTAGAAACAGTAGGTCTTAAGATAGATTAAAAAAGCCTAACAGAGTTAATTCATCTGAACTATTTTATAGGGATGCTGAGGAGCAAGATTATAAATGACAAAGTTGTAGAAAATATGTTAAAGGCACAACAAGATTTTATATTTTGACAATAGACATGAGAAAGTGATTAAAGACCTTAACAGTTGAAAGAAAAAATGATGATGCAAGCAAATACAGTATATCTGCATGGACTTGATGCAATCAGTTTGAGAAGTCAAAGTAATCAAATTACATTACGGCACAAAAATTCATATAATTTGCAATATGTTGGATTCATAACAAATTACGCTTTGCAAACATAATAGACAGATTCTTAATCTCTGATTAACTAATGCAGACACACACACACACACACGTCTCCTGCAGGGCCAAATTGTCGAGATCAGACCCCCCGTTGCTCACACACTTAGCTCCATGTCTTCTCCTGTTCTTTTGCTATAAAGAGTTCTCCTTTTGTTAATCTGAGAGAAAAGAAGAAGCCTGAAAAGAACCGCTATAGAGTGCTGAAAGCGGACAGTGGACGAATGTATTCAGAGGTAATGATGTACAATGATCAGTAATCATGAAAAATAAGATGTTTTTTTTCTTCTGGACTTTATAATCTTTGAAAAGTGAGGTAAGTAGTTGGTTTTATTATAAGAATTACTCCATTTAAAATCCCCACAGCTTCAGTAAAATGGAGTTTGACTTTAAAGAGTTTAAGTTTTAAAGAAAATAGTTCTACCAAAAAAAGGAAGAAAAACTGAAAATCTGATGTGTAAGATTATTTTATCAGGTTATGTTTTAGCCTTATACAGGTGGCAGATAGATTTCCACTGACCAAAAGTCTGGCCAGCTGCTATTTAGGGACACGTTGACAGTAGACACTGTCGTCGTCGACAACAGACAGACAGTACACACGCACCGACACTGATACTGAATGTGGAATGTGGGATTTATGGGCTTACAAATGCACACACACACACACACACACACACACACACACACAACACATGTACATGCCCATTGGTCCAAGCATGCAAGCATCCACCCACCCACACATGCAAACACACACAAACACACACACACCTAGGTATCTGTGACCACTAATTGTGTCTGGCCAGTGCCGTCCCCAGCAGCCAGGGTCATGAGAGTGCTGCGGTGCAGGACAGGGTAGCCATTGCGGTAGCCTCTTAAACATAGCTTATCCTGAGGCCTGTTATTACCCTGAGAAACTATCATATTTTTCTCCTCAAAACCGTCTGCTCAGTCAATTTAATGAAGCAGGCATTCCAACGGAGGGAAATGAGCAAAAACTCCCACAGTCCCACACAGCACCAGCAATTAATCGTTCTAGACAACAACCACCAGGAAGGAGACAGGGTACAGCAAAGAGGTTTATCATCACTTGTCTCTCTGTTGTTCGTCTTTGTTCTGCCTTTTTTCCTCAGGTGGATGTTTCAGTGTGGCTATGCTATACACTGTCACTCTCAGAGGTGCAATCAAACTATGTCTGCTGTTCTGTAGCACAAAGTGATCATAGCATACTGTATGCAGGTGGCTGATGGTTGCGCTGTTTAATTGATGAGCCAGGGCTGAGGACAAGTCTGAATTTGAACAATCATTTCGTGCTCTCTGTTGCAGAAAGCGTGACCAGCAATACGATACATTTCCGCCTCAAAGCAAAAAAGCAACTCAAATAGAGCTCAGCCTTTTATTGAGGCGTTGCAGACACTGTATTCAAGTGAGAAGATAAATCATAGTCTATCCCTTTTGTGCACAAAGAATTCTTGACACTAACAACAACTGGACCAGTGCAGGCCTAATAGAAATTTAAAGTAAACTGACTAAATAATAATAGCTATAAATAAAAACCAAAATACAACAAAACAATGTATATCTTCAAATATTCTCAATTATATATAGTGTCAAAAATAGCTAAAAATGCAGCATCTACACACCGTTGCGTCATAAATCAGCAGTCAACAAAACATTACTACAGCACTATCAAAACTTTCCGAGTTTTCTCTGCAATTCATGCTCTGTCTCGGTTGTGAAAATGTTTGTGCAAAGTTGCAGTAGTTTACTGTATATGTACCTGTTGATAGCAATTGATTAGACTGGTACCCTAAGACAAAAAGAACACCTGACCCAGAGCTTTATTAAGTTATTATGTTATTTCAAGACTATATTAGAAACTATTGAAATACAGAGGACAGCAGCAGTTCCTTGTGCTC